TGAAAGTACTTTTAGACATTTTGTAATATTCAATTTGCATGCTACAAAATTAGTAATCCACATTTATCATATTCTAAGATAAAATATCTGTATAAAGTACATGTTTTAAGGTACTTTCAGCTATTAAGAACTAATTAGTATATATTATTTACAGAAAAGACAAATACTACAAAATATTAGGATATTCTTTAATCTTAATTACTTCTTAATACTAAATATGCTGATGATAAATAGTATTTTTAACAGGATAATATACTAATCTATATTGCAAAGCTTACTTATTAATTTTTTGTGATTAATAATATTTTAGTAATTGATTGGTCTACTAACTCTTCTGATTTAAATCTATTCAAAAATTTGTAAAAGTTATTTAAAGAATAATTTAAAAGAAATGGAAAAATCTTGATCAAAATATTTTCTTTAATTTAGCAGATAATATGTTAGATCAGATTAATATAGTTATAGAAAAAAATGAATAAATAATACATTATTATTAATTCTTTAATATATTGTTTTTATATGATAAGCTATTGATAATATAATTTTTTAAAATAAAAAATAAAATTTGCAATACTTTTATATATTATGATAAATTTTAGATATTTATATCATAAACTATAATTAACTTAATATTAAGTCATATTTTATATGAAGGTAATCAAAAAAGTTAAAAGAATTCATCTAAAAATAAAAACTTAAAAAGAAATAATAAATAAAAAACTTTAATGCTTATCTATAAAAAAAAGTAAAAATAGAAATATTAAAAAGTCCTATAAGACTAAGTTATATAAAATCTATCTAGTTTAAAGTTTTTTAAACTATAAGATGCAATCCTATATAAATTAGGACTTGTGATCTTAAGACTGCAATTTTGAGACCTGATTTTAAAATTCAGTTCTAAGACATAATTTCTATAGATTAGGTCTTCTTTAGTACTGAAAGTTTTAAGACTAAACTAGAATTAAACTGGATTTTAATTTCCTTAAATAAAAAAATCTAGTTAAAAAAATAATAAATATAAAATTAAGTTTTTTACTATTGCAAATCTAGTAAATCAAATAGATCTACTGAAAAGAAAACTTAAAAAAAAATTAAATTAAAATAATTAGTAATTAAAAAAGAAAAAACTAAAAGCAAAGTATATTTTACTATTTGAATAAAAAAGATAAAAAAAGGTATAAGAATTTTTTTGGTAAAATTGTCAGAAAAATTATATGTAACTTTATAATTTAAACAGTAAAGTTCATTCTTTAAAGTTTTTATATTTGACTTAGATCATTATATTTTAACATAATAATTTTGATGTCTTATAAGTTAAAAGTGATAAAAAAAGAGAAATCAATTAATTTTTTATCTTTATATCTTAATATAATCAGCTATAATAATATAAGAATATCCAAAATATAATTTTCCTGATAAAACTTTTGAATTTCAATAGGTTATTAGAATTATTATACTATATAATTTTATTAGTAAGGTTGTGAAATAAAATTCAATACTATTTTAATAAAAGTCAATTTCAATAGGTTTCAACTGGTTTAATTTTGATGCTTATCAAAACTTTTAAGCTTTATCCAGCAATCTTACCTATAGACAAAATTATTAAAACTTTAAATTAAGAAAATTATATTAATGTCTTATTTACAAATTATCAAAATAAAGGATTTTAACTTTTGTTATTTACTAAATAAGTTTTATTAGTTAATTATAATCTAAACTAAAATTGAATTATTGATTAGTTCAATCAGCATCAAAAAGTAGAAAATAATAAATCTTCAACATAAGTATTGAATTTTAAAATAAAGGTAAATATTTCTGAATGAATAATTTGAGTTTATTTTTACAATAAAAGCAAATATTGAAAAGTTTAAAAGTATAATTTTATTTACATGTAATCTAATTTGATTTAAAAAAAATTATACTTTTAAATTTTTTATTAGTATAACAATTTCTTGTAAGATTGATTATATTTTTAGAATTTTGTTTTAAGAAGATGCAAAATAATTTTATTACTAACTTAAAATAAATTCTATTGAAATAATAGATTTGTATATTTAACAATTATATTATAAGATCAGAAAACTATAGAAAATAGACTTTCATTTTTATTTTAAATATAATATTTTAAGCAAATTGATTAAATTAAATCAATTTAAATTAATTATATACATATACATTAGGAATACTAACTGTCATTATCATAATTGATCATAATTGTGATTGATATTAGTTAGTTAAAACTTCTAATTAACTGGTTAATTAATCAATTCAGACTAATTTTAACTGACCAGTTGATTAACTAACTTAAAACTGAATAATCATGTTTTAAACAGTAAATATACTTTTATTAAATTAACAAAATCAACATATTATTTAATTATATATAAATTAATTTTGAAATTTTGAAAAATATAATAAAGTTTATGATAATATTATGCTATTAAATAAAAATGATAAAATAGTTTTAAAAATGCTATACTAAAATTATTAAAGCAAAAAGCAAAATTATAAATATTTGACTAAATTAAAACTTCTATTAAATCAAAACTGCTCAATTATATTATTATTAACTGGTTAATCAACTGGTCAGTTAAAATCAGCCAGTTAATCAATTAGTCAAATAAAGGTCTTTAACTAACTGTTGATTAACTATTAATTAACCATGACTGACCATTATCATCTCTAATATACACATATAAGGATTAAACTATTAAAATCATCTTATAGAATTTCACTAACTAAAATTGAGATTTTGATTTATTTTATTATATGATATATGAACTTTATTTGGTTAAGTTTTTATAGTTGATTATCTTATTAATAAAACAAGTAAATAAGTTGTCAAAATTTCTTATATTTTTATGTAAAAACTAAAATTAGATTTTAGAAATGATGATCAACATTATTATTTAAAAAGTTAAAAAGTTTTGGATTTTTATAAAATTTAAAATTTTTTAACTTTAATTAAAACTATTATTAATAGTTTGAATATATATTTGAATAAGGTTTAAAGAATATGAATACCTTTCAGAAAAAGTTTTTTTATTGAAATATTTCTTTTTTTTTTTAGAAAAATAAAAAAATAAAAATAAATGTTAAACAAAAATAAAAATAAAAACAAAATTAAAAATAAATAAATATAACTATAAAAATATATATATAAAACTAATTAAAATTTTGAATAATAAACTTTATCTAAATTTTATGGTAATTATTAAAATGAAAATGATAATAATCCTTTATATGAGGATAATTTACAAAATTTTGTGAAAGAAATCTTAAAATTCTATTTAATTCCATTACAGTCAATGACCAAAATTATGCGGACATTTTTAAATCAAATAAATTATATACACATAATATAATAAAAATAAGATTTTAACAAATATAAATTCAAATATATCTTTATTTATTAATTTATAAAAAAAGTTTAATATTAATCCTATTTCCATTTGTGGCAATAACTGCTGCAATTCGCCGCAGCATGCTATCGATCAGTTTTTGTAATTTCCAGAGGGATATCTTTCTATGCATCCTTTACATACTTTTCAAGTACTTTAATACTAGATGGTGGTGTTAAAGAACCAGTTTCGTGAAAATGTTTAAGAATACTATAAATAGCTGTTTTACTGCACCCATAGTATGACTTGACTGTCCATATTTATAACAGTAAGCAATAGCACCATAAGTTTCAGGAGTAAGTACTTTCATATTTGGCATGAACTTACTTAAGAGAAAATGTTTGGAGTATTGTTTATCATTATAAGTAAAAAATGACGTATTATTTTTATTATGAAATCACGTGACAATATTCCTAATTTGATAAATCAAAATGTTCGCATAATTTTGGTCATTGACTGTATTATATCAATATCATTGATAGTATTTACATTTTGATCTCTATAAATTTTTTTAATCCTTTAAAATATGAATCACATATAAATTTGTATATTTTGATATTATAAAGTTAATATTATTATTATTAAATAAACCCAACATATATAATCAATACAATAAAAAATGATAAATTATTTTTATTTTGTGCAGTGTAATTATCACAAGTTATTTATAAATTTTTTGCTTCATTATCAGATATAACAAATTTTTTAATTGCTTGATAAACTATAATTAAAGTTGTATTTGCTCCTTTTTCTACACCTTTTAGAAATTCATTTTCAGCAATTAAAAAATTAATTTGTTGAATTTTTTATCCAGTTTTACAAATTCCAAATAAATGTACTGCATAAGCACTTTTAAATAAATAGATCCTATTTGTTGTGGTGAGTACAGAATTGAAACATTTTGGGCCAATAATAATACATATGCATTGTTGAATTACTGTTTTTAACATTATCATTATAATGTTAAAACTTTTATTATCATTTTTTGAAATTTGTATTTGCTTTTTAAAAACTTCACAAACTTCACAAAGATCTGATCCTGGTAATTGAAATTTATAATTAAACATTTTGCGGTACAATTTTCGTTTGATATATCACAGTAATTTCGTCATATTGATATTTTCATGGAAAATTCACCTCTGATAGTAAATCTGATAAAATATCGATATGAAACATCATGGGCGAACAATTATAAGCAGGTAATATAAAATGTTATTGAACAAAAGAAAGTAACATACAAATTTCTTTGCAATTATGGTCACAATTTTATCATTGATACTTAGGATAAAATAATCCAATTTAAATTATTAAAAGCTTATAATATCTTTATTCTTCAAAAGAAACATTAAAATTAAGGTTATGTAAAAGGTTAAAATTTTAGGCAATAGTACAGGAGTTATTAGGTTTGGCAGAATAGTTATTAAGGCGTTAAATTGTTAAATATTCAGGATTGATAGTCATTAAGGGATCGGGTAAAATTTGGTAAGCTATTTGTTTGAATGTTATAACACCAGTGTATAGTTAAAGAGTTGGGTAAAGTTGGTAGAATAGTTATTGAAGTATCAGAGCAATTAAGATAAGGAGTTGGGTAAAATTGGTATGTTAGTTTTTAAGTTGGATAAAGTTGGTAGGATCGTTAGTGAAGTATTGTGAAAATAAAGTTCCGTAAAAGATTTGGAAAAATCGGATAAAGTTGGTAGGATCGTTATTGTAGTATTGTGAAAATAAAGTTCTGTTAAGGAGTTTGGTAAAGTTGATAGATTATTTATTGGAGTATCAGGACAATTAAGTAACGTTAAGGGTAATCTTGGAAATGTAGTAATACTAATACAACAGCAAAAGAGTTTAATAAATTTTCGACCTAGTAATCCTCTTAAGACGTTTAATATGCCATTCTTATTAAATTCCGTAATCCTTGGACTTTCAATAGTTTCACCATAATTAATATTTGAATATTCGATATTTGATTCTAATTCTTCTACATTCTTCTGACCAGCCAAATGATGAATAATTTCGGAATTATTTGATGAATGATTATTCATTTGATATTTTAACTGATCAAATCGAATAATTTGAGATCTAAATGAATTATTTATATTAGAAGAAGCATTGATGTCACCCAAAAGATGTTGTTTTGATGGATTATTTTTTGCTATGTCAATTATTGCATTTAATTTATCAACTACTTGATTCATTGATGGACGATTATCCGGCTCATTATCCCAGCACCCTGAATTTGATAAATATTTAATAATCATTTTCTTATAAATAAATAAATGAACATATATTTACCAGTGTAAATGTTCACATAATCTTCAGGTGTACCAGGAATGATCTTTTCTCTAAGTCCTCCTAAAATTTCGATAGCCAAACTTAAGTCGTATTCTTCATCAAAAAAAGGAGGATGGCCACTTGATATTTCCCATAACAGTACGCCAGCACCATAAACGTCGCTCTTTTCATTTAGTTTAAATGGTGGTGATTTATTATCACTTCTTCGTCTGTTAAAAAGTTTTTGGTCAACGTAAGAAATTACTCCAAAAGCTTTTGACTGATTAGTTGTTGCTTTAATTCTTTTAGATAATCCAAAGTCGGCTAACTTAATAACGCCTTGATGAATTAGAATATTACCGGAATGCTATTATATGCATATAAAAAATATTAGTCATTAAACAGCAATATTAAGGAGAAAAATTATATTGTGTATAATTACCAAATCACGATGTATAATTCCTTCGTTGTGTAAACACGATACAGCACTAACCAACTGGAATCCCAAGTTGAATTTATCTCCCCAAGCTAGCTTATCAAAATTACTCTTTAAATAATCTTTAAGCGAACCGCCGTCAGCATATTCCATTATTAACCAAAATTTTTTCAATCTTTCTAATTTTTTTTTTTTAAAAAATAAAAAAATATTTATAAATGAATTAAAAATAAAATGCGAAAGTCAATAATAGATAATTACCTTGATTTGATGATGTAATCCCCAAAAAGCGAATGATATTCTATGAAAATCAACTTCTCGTTGAAGTTCAAGCTAAAGTTATTAGAAAATAAATTTTAGCTTGACTTGATATACAAATGGATTTTATGCTATATAGACCGAAATGCGATCTTTTATTTTGTAATTACCTCTTGAGCAAATTTTTTAACAGTGGCATTGCTAAAGTTATGAAACAATTTTAATGCAAGGTGTTGGCTTGAACTTTTCCAATTTGCACGGTAGACTTTTCCAAAGCTTCCTGTACCAATCTCTTGAAAATTACTAAATTGTTTAAATTCGTAGTATTTGATACTTTTTCTTGAGACATATTCTTCAATCCAATTAATCCACTCATTCGAATCATTGGCAGCTTGCATGTTGCTTTATTGTTGCTTTATTAAATTTGTATATAACGAAATGAACTAAAAAAATCTTCGAGAAAAAGCAAAAAAAAAAAAAAAAAATGCATACGGTAAATCAAGTAACGTTAATCAAATTTCTAAGCCACCATTAATTTACTGGATTTGTGTAACAATAACGTTTAGATGTGGAATATAATCACGAGACAAAATAAAATATCAACAAGTAAAAATAATCGTCGCAGCAATAAATTTGACGAACTTTTTTTAAAAAAATCGTTTAATATTTATTTTAATATGGAAGCAACTAATTTCTTTTTTAAATTTTATTTTTATTATCTATATAAATTAAAAATAAATCTAATTAAATGAATACGAATTTTAATTACTAATAAATTTCCATGTTTCTTTTCTTATTTCCAAACCAAATGTTAAATGCATTACTAAAATCAAATTTTAATTAAAGCTAGAACAAAAAAAATAAAAATAAAAAAAAATAAAATTTATCGGGGAGAGAAATACAATCATAAAGAAAAAAGGAAAGGAATAAGGAAAGGAACATGTTGTGCGTATGTCAAAAGTATCTGTCTAATCCCAAGAAAACAGCCCAACGTATTTATATTAAATTTTTTGTAAAGTCAATTTGGCCAGGCGACGTATTGTCCAGAGGGCATATTGGTCGGAGGAACAAATGACTGACAATTTTCGAAACGAAATTGTCATCTTGCAATCGTTGTAACAATAATATAGTTTGTCATTTATAAATATTGCATAGTATTGAATAAATATGTCTGATAAATAAATTTAACTCTTTATTAATATAAAAAAGCATACCAATATAAAAATATCGTGAATAATGTGATTGTTTTAAAATTTATACGCATTGTGCAATATTTGTAATTTAAGCTCTAATATTATACTTTTATTATTAATAGCTTGAAATTATATAACGCAAAGAATTTCGCTATTAAAATTCCTGCTACTCTTAGAAATTTACCATGTAAATTAAAACGAAGGTTAATGGCGGCATCCTCTAACTATAATATAGAATACCTATCTATATAAAAAGGATGATTCAATTTTTTCTTTCAAAAATTCACATTGAGATAATGAAAAAGCAAGCAATGTTACGTTTTAATGCAAAAAATATCTCAAATAATTTCCTTTAAAAAGAATTTTTTTCTTTAAATAGCAACAAAGCAACCACCAACAACTGAGATGCAATGTCTGAGCTCGATCTTAGGTCAGGAACTTGAAAGGACAAGTCTACGGGATACGGGCAAAGGATAGATATTTTAATTATATTTGTTTAACTATATATATGTCTACGGGATTAAGATGCTAATGGTCAATCATGACCGATTTTGACCGACCGGTTGACCAAAAGATTTTTAGACTAAATAACAACTTACCTAGCGTCGCCTAGAAAAAATGGTAGCCGGATATTTTTTCTGGGTAACACGTGATTTCGGATACTAATCTTTGGGAATTATATTTACAAAAATCACTGACGTAAACAAATCAATATAATTGTTTTCACGTTGAATAAGTTAATTTTTTTTTTTCACTTTTTTTTCCTCTTTTTTCATAATTTTTTTTTTTTTTTACAAACGATACTTTTTTTTTTATTAACGCGTAACATAACATTACTAAATATAATAAAAGATCGCAAAGTTTTCTTATTACATTTCCTTTTACTACGCCACGATGTCAAACCAACAAAATAAAACTTGTAAAGGATGTCATGTTCGTCAAAGCTATGAAAATTTTCTGAATGAGAAAGGTGTTACTTTGATAAAATGTTTTCACTGCCGAGATAAACTTAAAATTTCTCGCTTGAAAAAAAGTATTTAAAAATCTGACACAATAATTAAATATTCAGATATTACCGAAACTGTATATAATCATTTAATTTCTCTAAATGATACTAATGAATATTATGAAGGGGAAAATGTGGAGTTAAATCTTGATCTCGATATTGAATTATCATCTTTTCTTGACTTTATTTTAGAAAAAGATGAATCAAATAAGGAAAATCTCGAAATTGAAGTTAGAAATCATGTAATAACATTGATTTCAGAAGGTGACGGATATTCATGGGTTTATCGGAATAAAAATCAAAAAAAAGACTCTCTTCATATATTATATTATTGCAATTGTCAAATTGAGCTTGAAAACCGGCAAGTAAAGCATTTCATAGCAGATAAACAAAGAGACACATCTACCTATTTAGAACGTTATCATTGTAATGGAACAATAAATATAGAAATATTATCACAATTGGGCTTAATCAAAGTTAAATATTCTTATAAAATGTTACATCCACGACCAAGGCATGTTAATACAATAAAGGTGTGAGCGAAACCAAAATCTTAAGGTTGAAACGTTTCGGCTTTCAAGAACTAAAATCTGAAACTTTCTGATAATCTGAAACTAAGACGAAATTGGCAAAACTGGCAAAATTGGCAAAACTAGACAAAACTTGCGAAACCTTCTAAAACTAGTTATGCCAATCAAAATAAATGCTGATTTAAACCTTTAATACTATTTAAAACTAATCTGTGCTAATTAATCAATAAATTAATTAAAGTTGCTATGCTAATTAATACGCTATTTACATATAATATACAAATAGCATATAATTTATTATTTATTAATTCGATATATCTAAAAACAAAAATTTCACACATAAAAAAGTAAAGCAAAAAAAATATTTGAACTTCGTGAAATCAAATATAGTTAGTTAATAGCTGATCATCAAAAAATAGCAACCAAAATTAGAAATTGAATTCTCACCTTTTTTAGATACACTGATACCACATTAAAAAATAAATATTATTTATCATAACATTAATATTTTATTATTATTCTTTCTATTCAAAAATCAAAAATAAATCTAATGCTATTACTAATCATTAACTAAAGTAATTATTTTATATTTTCAAAGAAATTACAAATTTAAGAAAATAAAAATTATTATTTTAATTTTTATTTAAAATCAAATCAGCTTCTCTTTTAGGATCCCAATCTTCTTCAACACTATTATTATCTTGAATGCTAATTGTCTCATTATCATCACTATCAGTAATATCAAAAGTATCAACAATTATATCTCTTAAATCTTTTGTAAAATCATCAGTATGAAGGTTTAATAATTCTTCAATATTAAGTATTTCTTCTTCAGAAATTGGAAAAATATTTTGTTCTACTTCATTAATAAATTCTTCTTCCAAGTTTTCATTATCATAAAGATTTGCATTATATAATATTTTATTTAAATTTTCAATGGTCTTATTAATAGAAAATAAGGTAATTCATTTTTTGAATTTGCAAGATAAAAAGCAGAAAGTTTTTGCATATTTTTGATTTTGCCTAACAAAAGTCACATATGACGTTTACCATAATACTATCCTAATGTTGACCAAATCCTCTTACAACCAGCTGCATGTAGTGTTATTACAAATAACTTATTGGTTAATTGACAAATATGATCCTCATTTTTTGGAAAGCTATCCTCAATAAAAAATCACCAGGTAGAAGGAGATTCATTATCATCAAAAAATATATTGAAAGGTGCAATACAACATCAATAATTTCTATTTGAGCCATTAATACTTTTCTTTCCTTTGGTGTTTTATTCATTTTTTCATAATATTCATCTGCTACAAGAAGAATTCATCAAAATGTTTCTCTTGCCTAAACTAAATCTATAAATAAATTATAATTATTTTTTATTATATAATATTTAATTTTTTAATAAAAAATATATATATTTTTTTAATTTACCTTTACAGTAGCAGTCATAAGTATCCGACTACCTCTAATTCCAGCTACAAGTAAGTAAATTCAAAATTTTTTTTTATTTAAAAAATACATAACCAACTAACTAAAATTAATACATT